GGGCTCGGTGGCTCAGCCTGTAATCCTGCGCTTTGGGAGGCTGAGGCGAGTGGATTGCCTGAGCTCGCAGGTTTGAGACCTCATCTCTACAGCAAATCAAAAAATTAGCCAGACATGGTAGCGCGTGCCTGTAGTTCCAGCTACTTGGAAGGCTGAGGCGGAAGGATCGCCGGAGCCCAGCAGGTCGAGGCTGCGGTGGCTGGGAGCGGCCACTGCACTCCAGTCTGGGCGACAGAGTGAGACTCCAACTCAAAAAAAAAAAGAAAAAGAAAAAGCTGTTTTCATTGACATATGAAGTCTTTATCCATTCATCACCCACAGAGTTCACAAAAAAATGGGCAGCAAATGTGCACTGCAGTGCTGATGCTGCATTAAACAGGCCAAAGCATAATGTTTCTGTGTCATATGTATGACTTGTTTATAGCAGAGAGCATCCATCCCTATAGCAATGATCACCTGTAATAATCATGATCATTGCTACAGGGATGAATAGATCAAAGAATCTCTAAATCAGAACAGAGAAGGTGGCAACTTCACTGGAGAGTCATTGGCTTCTTTGTGGGCAAATCAGGACCAGCTCTCTGCCTCCTCTCATTCTCCCTGACTCCTGCTGTGGTCACTGTTCCTGCTCGGTATGGAGTGAATGAATATGTGTCCCATGTTAACTGAACTTCTATTCAAATCTAGCCTTTATAGATATCACTTCAGTTAATTTTCAAACAATCCTAAGCGGTTTCACCACCTCACTGATGAAGTAAACTGTAACTTAGAGAAATCAATGATTTCTTCATTGTCCCAAAGTTAAGACCCTTTGAGAAGGGCTTTTTGTTTTAAGTTACCACCCTTCCTAATGCACTCAATCTACCTTCTGTGACACTGATATTCTTGTCTTTAACTGCTCATTCCTTGGCTCCTTTCTTGAATCTTCCTTCCTCCACCCTAAATCCTAGGGGGATCTTTGCAAGCTCAGGCTCAAAGAACTGCAAGTCAGGGCTCTGGCAGTACCTGTACCTCACCCCCATTATGCAATATCAGACCCCATGAAATGAAGACCTTTCACTGCTGGTCACTTAAAGAAGTCAAAATGTGGGTGTAAGAAGGGTTCCCCTTTGACCTATGACTTCAGGGCCAAAGCCCTTGGCCTTTGAAATCACTATCATTCCCTGCTAGATCGTTACAGTGCTCAGACTATTTTATATTAGATAAGAATTTTCTAGCTATAAACTGAGAGATAACTTAAGGATATACAGGACACGTATGCTAGAGATGGAAAATAAGCCCTTCATGGATATTACCCTGGTACTAAATAGCTCTGCTCAGGCTTCTGAGTTCAGTCCTTCTTAGTCTGGCTCCACAGAGCTATATCGCTCTGTGTGTCATTAAAGAATTAAAAACTTAGACCAAAAAGAAATTATAATTATCTATTACATGCCAGGTACCAGGTTGAACACATGGGAAATATCTAAGTTACTTAACACGTGGTCCCTGCATTCAAAGAGCTCACAGAAAGGTGCATCAGAAACAAAGATTTAAGATCGTGTATATTACAGCCAACTGGTACAGACTAAAGGAACTAAAAATCTGGAGACAGGAGACAGCGCTGTTAGTCAGAGGAGGCACAGAAAACCATAGTAAAGCTGAATGATGACATGCACAAGGTTGTTTAGCAGGAAGCGGAAGCCAAGAGTATCACAAGTGAGAGGAACAACAGGAACAGAACACTGAACATAGCTACTCAACGTTTTTTCTCTAATTTCTTGGTCCTTGGCACTAAACTACTCTTACTAGATAACCATTCCTCCAAAAGTGTTACCCACATTAACCCTGCAAGATACAGTTTGGGGGGAAAAATTGTGCTCAAAGAGGCCTGGGAATGTTGCATACTGCATCCCTCTTTGGAGACCTAGCTAAGCCTAGTAAAGACTTTGAGAAATCCTGCAGTACAGAAACCCTTTCTGCAAAGTTCATAATTTTGTCCTTCTTGATATGAGGCTATAATACTGAGTAATCTATCACAGAAACAAGGAATCGAGTATTACATGTTCTCACTCATATGCAGACCTTGAGCAACTATCATAATGCTGTAAGAAAGGGATTGGCAGTAGTGGGAAACTGCCAGGAGAGGGTGGGGTGGGATTGACAGTAGTGGGAAACTGCCGGGGAGGGGCACACCTCATTAACAAGGGTACCTGCATAATGAACATTGGTATACCTAACCCAGAATTGTACCCCACATATTTAAAATAATTTTTTTGAAAAAAGAAACCCTTTCTGTGTTGTTTGATCCAGAATTTCCCGAACTTACTTGAACACCAAGTCCTTTTTTGTACTTGACGCCCATTTTCATCCTAAGAAGCAACCATGCAAGGGGATATACTTCAGAAGACAATGCCTTATGCCAGCCTCTCTAGCTAGGCGAGGGAGGGCAGGAACGTGGGGAGAGTGACAGTGACAGAAATCCTCATGGGAGTTAAGTCTCGCTGGATAAGACAGCAACAGTTACAAAGGAAAAGCAGCTTGCTGACAGAAGAGTCCACAGACTCTGGTGAATCAGGAGGAACTAGGTGATCTCAGCTCTGGAAATATAGCCTCAGTACAGACAATATTACTAAGGCAGCAAGCCAATGTCATATGTGTGAGGCACTGACAAGTTTGTAGAACAAATCCACCCAAAGAACATATGAACAAGCAACTGGTATTTCACACTTCTATTGTTCAAAAACTCTTACTTGAGGGAAAGTTTTATATGCCAGATCTTAATCTATATAATATTTAAAGCAGACCTTAGTTTTCTACTTTTCAAGTTTAGGATTACAGCTCATAAGGATTTGCCCAAGGTTACCCATTGCTTATGGTTTACAAGGCACATGGACGCCCAATCCCATCTGATCCCAGGGAAGGCAAGATAGTTAGAAGCTCCCCAAGGTGGCAAAGGCTGCAGTTAAGGCCAGGGCCTCCATCTCTTCGTGCTCTTTCCATTCTGATTGTGGAATCCAAATAATTCTAACTTTCTGAAACAGCTCTTGTCTCAGATATCCTATTATCCTTCCCAAATCATCAAAATCTCCCAGAAATTATACTTTGTGATCCAACTCATCTTTCCCTCCTAGAAGGAGCACAAAGAGCTTTCTCTTTGTTCAAACTCCTTTGGATAAACAAAATCAACTTAATAGATCACAATATTTTCAGAAAACATTCATTGATGATTTGGAAAATCTACACATGGCAATAGAATAGGCTAATTAGCTTTTGGCCATCTAGATCAAAACAAATATACACAACTAGAATAAGAAATGCTCTTTCAAGGTGAGAGAAAACCTTCCTAAGACAATTTAGCATAGAATCACTGTCACTAAAATTGCAAGTACGTGATATGGTGAACTCAGCCACTGTATCCCCTAATGGATGGAAACACACATACCCATGATCTAAAATGGCAGACAAACAAAATAAATCATTTATTTTGGCTTGAGCTCTATTACTCTACTTAAATACAGTTTGGTTTGCAGCCTGGAGAAAACTTTCTCTCCAAATAATGAAACGATGTCTGAAAAGCCACGCTTTTGTGATCCTCCCCACACCAGTTCCCCAAGTCAGTGCTAAGTGACAGTCTATGAACTGAGAGCCCCTCTTTCTGATTGTTGCCAAACCTCAGGTCAAGCAAGGAGGTTGTCTCTAAAGGCACAGGCATTCAGGAAGTTTCAGAGACATTAACTGTTAAGCAGGTTCCAGAAAGAGTATGGGGGAAGGGAGAGTCTAATATCACTGTCCCAGGGGTTCTCATGAAGGACTGATTCTGCTTCCTAGAGACATTTTTGGTTGGCACAGCTGGGGAAAGGGAGTGCTGGTATCTAGTGAGTAGAGGCCAAAAATGCTGCTGATCACCTTAACAGTGCACAGGATAGCCTCACAGACAGGATTGCCTGGTCCAAAATGCCAAGAGTACCAAGGTGAGAAACCCTGCATTAAATTAGCAAAGCACACAATGAAAATGATACATGAGTGCAGTCAATAAACCTGAATGCAATAATTACAAGTGACTGGATAATAGACACTATGGATTCTGACATAGTAAATAATCTGGATACCTCAGCTGATTGCCACATTATGAAAATTTTTAAACTTAAACACCAGTAGCTAGCTTTCAACTCTGCTAATGAATGTGTAGAAATAGGAACTTACTAAATAAAAACCATTGCAGTAGGCCTTTATTCTGACTAATATGTCATTTTGTTATCTCAGAGCACAAGACAGTGAAGCAGAACTGCTATTACTGTGTCTCTCTAAGAATGGGAACAGCAGATATCTAAACTGTAAAAATAAACAGACCTCACCAGTGGGAGAAATAAATCAAAAGTGAAAACTGAGGGACAGCTCATATACTGGATGATTTTATATGCCCAAGGTCAACCACGTTAATTCCTTGGTAGTTTATGATGACATAAAGGTCAGTCCAAAAATGAGCACTTCTAGATGGCCACGAGGATATTTGGGTTCCAATAATGAAATACAACATTCTTGGCAGCCTGTACTGTTTCAATGAGCTACACTGCAAGATTCACCCACACCAACAAGATTTAAAATAATCATAAAACAGTGAATTTCAAGAGTCACAGAAGTATTTGAAAAAGTGGTCTCTGAAATCAGATATAAACTAGCTCCCCACTCGAGATGCAAGGAGAGTCGCCTTACAGTCATTTATCATTAGCCTATGGAAATCCCCACAGATACTACAGGTCACAGGAGAAGAAAATCACACATAACTCAAGTGAAAAGCATCTTTATGCAATGAAGGAAGAAAATGAAGTTGCATAATATGCCAAAAAGCAAGGAACTAAAAATACAAAATGCTGCTAACTTTATAGTAAATTTAAAAATTGTGAAAACCAGCTTGAAGGGCATTTTAAGTCATTTGCCACAGACCCAGAAGTTGTTTATTATTTCACATGTTCGACTACAGAATTAATATAAAATTTTAGAAGTAGAAAAAAAAAACTAACCTTAAGGTTATCAAAGGTTTTGACAGTCTGCGCCAAGTCACTGACACTCCCTGATGATGCTGTCCCCTGTCCCCTAGGGCCTGAGGACACCTGTGAGCCGTCAATGACCTCAAAACCAGAAAGCAAGGCCTCTGCACAGCTGCAGTGAGACTCCTTGGCTCTCTGACCCGATATCAGGTATGTCTTCAAACCTATGATGGATAAAAATTACAATCAGCACAGATTGAAACCACCGTTTGATGAAATACAGCTCGATCTTGCTCTATACGGAAAACACACTCCTGGAAAGTTGAGAGTAAAGTGAAAATGTGAATATGTCATATTTTATGACTGACTTCCATGATCTTCTCAGAGAAATGTAGCCTCAGGGAGACCATTTCCCTCCAAGACATACGTTTATTCATATTATGCTTTCTTTGAATAATGGTTGTACATTTTACCTTCGGGAGTAAAATAAGCATTAAAAAGTTCCTCCGTGAAAGGGTCACATGACCTCTCTGTGAAGGAAGTAAAGCAGATTGATGGTGGGCCCTATACACTGTTTGGGTTTATTTCCATCTGTAAATACCAGTCCCTGACATTCATAATGGCCAGTCCAGACGTAAGCATAAGGGCATCCTCAAGTACTGACAGCCTTACCTGTGTCAGAGATTGCAAAACTACCCTGAAAAGTGAGACCATAACATGAACCAACGTAGGTAATTAAAACCTCCCTCGATTCAGATTTGTTGAGTATCTTTTTTTCTGTTGAATCCAAACGTTCACCCCAGGAACATTCAGCTTTTGTTAAGCCAAAATCCACATGCATTTTATTCTCTCTCAAATTCTCATTTAGAAAAAAAAAAAAGTTGGTCAGATGGGCAGCTAACCTATCCCTCCAATTCTTTTTACACGCCACACTGTTAAGTTGCCATAACAGGCAGGTGGGTCCTGTTCAGGTATTCAGGACTATCTGCTGGAAAAATAAGAAAGAGCAGCTTTTTCAGGAAGAACTCAAGGAATTTTTTTTAAATAAGCAAATTTTTAGGCTGGGCTCAGTGGCTCAGCCTGTAATCTCAGCGCTTTGGGAGGCCGAGGTGAGTGGACTGCCTGAGTCCGAGGGTTCGAGATGCGCCTGGGCAACTTGGCAAGGCCTCATCTCTACAATAAATAAAAAAAACTAGCCGGACATGGTAGCTCGCACCTGTAGTTCTGGCTACTTGGAAGGCTGAGGCAGAAGGATCACCAGAGTCCAGCAGGGTGAGGCTACAGTGACCGGGAGCATGCCACTCTACTCCAGTCTGGGGGACAGAGTGAAACTCCAACTCATAAAAAAAAAAAAAAGCAAATTTTTACTTAGAGAAATTCATCATTCATCCTTATTGGAAATTAACCACACAGCAAATGTAACAGAGGGAGTAACCATGTAATTTATTCAATAAACATTTATCTTAAGCCTAGTGTTTGCTACACACTGAGAATAAAATAATGAACAAAACAAGGTCCCTGTCTTGGCGAGTGTAGAATTTACACTCCAGCAGACGGTCATGATGAAAAGTCATGGAAAGATGTAGCATGGAAGGCTTCAATCAAGAAAGGATATGTCTACACTACTGATCTCACTGCAGTTTTTTACACTTGGTACCTATTTAGTAAGAGCTGTAAAATTAATTAGTCAAAAACCTAGGACTGACTGACCAATAATCTTTAATCATTTTATGGGTACACCACCATTTCATCACTGCATCTTTCTTAACTCCCTCTTTCCTCATAAAAACACTATACAGCATGCCTTTCTAGTCAACTGTTGTGAAAATTGGGCAGAATCCTGGAGATACCTAAAGACATTCCACAGTATAGCCAATCACAGTTATAAATCCAAAAGACTTACATATTTTTAGATGCCAACTAACCCCAAAGAAAATCTTTAAACACTCACTTTTACTTAGACCCTGAACTTCTGTACATTTTTTTTTCTCCAACAAAAACACACATCACAATTTAGGTATAGGATTTATCGTAGTTTTAGCTAATTACCTGTATAAACTTGAAATGGAAATGTGAACAAAAGCACTTTTATATTAATCTCTCAGACTCTGCCCCAGGCAACAATTGCCTAATTTTGTCATTTCACTTTAGGAGAGTAAAAAAAAAAAACACAACCTAGGTGGACCAAACAAAGAAAAATGTCATTTCTGACATGTTTGGGAGTCCTATTTCCACCTTTGTCAGTCCTATTTCCACCTTTGTCAAAGAAGTATAGGAGAGGGCCTGTCCCCAGGGACTGCTCTAGGGGTTTCCTTCCCATGACTCCTGGGTGTGGCATGTAAGTCACCAGGCAGCAGGGTAGTGACAGGAGCCTGGAAGAGCCAGTGTAGCTGCAGAGGGTCAGCCTGGAGACGGAAGTCCCCACCCAGACCAAGGAAGGACACTGTTTAAGTTGGAGAGGGCAAGGAGTTGCTGCTGAAGGGAAAGGGTTTCCATTATGTCTGTGGCTGGCCCTTGGAGACACTGGAGGCCCAGGGCGTTCCTGCACAGGGATGCTGCTACCCATGGATGAAGGTTGCCCTGGGGGCATGAACTGGGCTGCCGCTCAAACCCAGGAAGGGTCCTTTGTCCAAGTAAGTGTTTATCTGTCCCCTGGGGGGCTCCAGAACTGCAAGAGAAAATAAAGACAGAGACCTGTGGCAACTGAAGCAGAGAGAAGGCGGAGCAAGGAGACCTGAAGCGCCATAGCCTAAAAGGACGACCAGCACATTCACAATGCCGGGCACAGCACACAGAAGAAAGCCCAGAGCAGTAGCTGCTGTCTCAGCAGTCACGAGCCCAGGGGCATGCCCTGAGGTATGCATCCCTGAGGTTTGCTATTGCTATTTTGAATTGGGATCATGGAGTCGCTGCTTATTCATCAAACATTTATTAAGCACTTCCTGTTTACTATGCACTGTGAAGGGTGCAAGGTGGACCAGGTAATGTATCAGCCATGATTGCATGGAGGCTAACACCTGAAGAAAGGCCTAGACAACAAACAGGTGTGACTACAGTTGAGTGTGCCAAGTCCCAGGATTAGGAAGCACCAAATGCTCCAGGAAGCACAGGAGAGGAGCACCTCAAAAAGACTCAGGAAGGAATGCTATGCTTTGAAAGTATCCCCTCCAAAATTAAGGTGTTGCCAATGTGATAGTATTAAGAAGTGGGGCCTTTAAGAGGTGACTAGGTCAGGAAGGCTCCTTCCTCATGAGCGGGATTAGGTGCCCCCATAAAGGGGCTTGATGCAGGGAGTTGGATCTCTCACTTATTCTTCTGCTCTCCTGCTATGTGAGGACACAGCATTCTTCCCCTCCAGAGGATACACCAGACAACTAAAGCTGCCGGCACCTTAATCTTGGACTTTCTAGCCTTCAGAACTGTTAGAACACAAGTTTCTGTTCTTTATAGATTTCCCAGTCTGTGGTATTCTGTTATAGCAGCAGGACTGGACTAAGACAGAAGGCCCATGGATGAGGTGCTTTCCAGGCTAAGAATTGAAAGATGGAGCAAGATCAGCCCAGCAACAGCAAATAGGGCCAAGAGAGGGGTCGGCTGATACCAAGCACTGGGTGCTACTAGAACAGTCCATGAAAGGCCCTCCAGAAAGGAATCCTTTGGTTGAGGGGTGGCACTGAGCTTAGTGTGACTGGAACAGAGCATCTGAGTGGGAGAATGGCTGGAGCTGAGCTGCAGCCCCTCCATGTAGGGCACTACACGGAGACTTCCTCCTGAGGGTGACAGGGTAATGAGGGAGAAAGAGTAATGAGCAGGAATGGGCTCAGGACAAGCCAGGGAACTGATGGAAATGCCAGCTTCAGTGGGTGGTAAGCTGGGGACATGGAAGTCAGGAAATAATGACAGAAACAAGGGACCTACTTCCCCCAGATCTGGTGGTGACAGGCAATATACTATACTATACTACTATAGGTGGTCGAGTATGATGGGTGAGGGCATGACTTCTGGAGAGGAGTCCTCAGGGTGAGGTCCAGGTTCCAGCATCTCCTAATTGTGCAACCTTAGTAAGCTGTTTCATCCCTCTGCATCTCAGTTTCCTCGTCCATATGGCAAGGCTAAGACCAGAATTTATCCCACAAGCTGACACGAGGTTTATGTGATTAACACACACACAGCCTTTACAAAAGCACACGGCACATAGTAAGCACTCAGCAACATTTGCTATCATGATCGTGATGCTTGACCTGTATATCACCAGGAATCTTTTCCATGCTCCTTCTATATACAAAAGCATTTGCAGAACTATTAAGTCTGTCATTCCTCCCAATCTCTAACTTGGACTTTTATTTGAGAAGCTCTGAATGACCAACTTGTAGTGATAACACAATCCTACTAGTGTTACAAAGCTCCAACATACCTGTATGTCCACAAGTAAAAGTGGTGAATAAATTACCTTTTTATTTATGTTTCAGTATGGAAAGCTAAGTTTAAAGTGAAGCCCTTTGCCAAGACCAGAGGGATATCAGCATAACATGTCAAGTAAGGCAAAATTTAGCTGCCTGAGAGAAAATATCCAGAGAAGTATATCAGGATGGGTTACTAAGTTCAAGCCAAGTCAGTCTTAAATCAAGAGAGTTTGCAGGAGATAGGATTTAATGAGTAACCATACCCGTGCACCCTGAGGTCTAAGTTCATTAGAATGGCTCTCTTGGAGCAGGTCAAAATAAGGCAGCTAAATGATTTAAGTACAGTGTAAATTGGAGAATAATTAATAAGATTTCTTATACTCTTTCTGAGTAATTGAGTTTAAACCTCACCAACACTGATGCCTTTCACCAGCTTGACTTTACAAAGGCTACAGAGAAGGGAGGCATTTCCTAATGGGCTCCTGCATGTTGAAGGAGTTTGTCTATGGCTGTGCGTGCTGAGGGGGTTAATGTGGCTAATGTTCTTAAGTATTCTTAGGTATATCATCACTTCTTTGAGAACAAACTGTGCCTTGTACACAGAGGTGATCAGGTTTGGTGAACTGAATGTAATATGAGTGAGTGATGAAGTCCATTTTGGAAAAGAAAGATGATTCTGGCTGGTCTTTTTTTCTATGGGACTCGTGTTTTGGAGTGAAATGTCCTCAGTCACCAAGAATCAAGGACTTGACAGTCAACTCAACAGAAAGAGAAGAATAACCAGGAAGAAAATAATGTTTTAAGATATGACTCTGGGAGTT